TTTAGCCAAAATTGAATGATTTTGCTTATTTTTACTTTGGAAAGAAGTAAGATTAATAATTAATGGATTGTTAATATAAACAGGATTGGGAAACAGCAAATGCTCAGATAATAATACATCTTTTTACTAATCTCAATATTATAGATATGCTTGTTGTTAGAGTATAAGTTTTGTTTCAGACTGTTGATTTTAGAGTGTTATGTTTGGGGTGTTTCTTTTTGTTTTGTAACTAGGTGGGCTTATGCTATACACGGTATTCTTGAAGTAAATGTTTGCCCCAGCTTACGGATGTGGTCATGGAAGCATATTCGGGAACATAGACAAAAACTGAAGCAATATAAAGAACTGTACAAAAAAAAGTTAATAAATAAGAAACCACCTGGTGAAATTCTCATGTCTTTAGAGGTTAGCATTTAAATAAATAAAAAAAAAAAAACACAAAATAGTTGTACTGTATAATGCCTACATCAATATATTTAGTGACTCGTTATTCTAACTTTTAGTGACTGCACTTTTTTTTTTAAGACACCTTTGTGCTCCTGTTCTAATTTCACGTAATAAAAGATCTTATGAAATTCTCCTGTGAGCTTTTGAAATTTAGGAGATTATATTTATTCTGAAGAGATTTGGGTTTATGCACATGGTAACTTGAAGTCTCATGTTGTTTTTAACCTCAAAGCCAAAATAAAGTGTATGCTACACTTTTTTCAAACTTCTCTGTTGGTTTCCAAAGTTGTATGTTACTGGCATCATCAATCACATTTTTGCTCTTATCATCTGATTGTGCATTAATTAAGTTTTCTATATGTTCAGTGCTCATTTTTTGTATATATTTTTAGTTATAGATGGACACAATACCTTCCTTTTATTTATTCATATTTTTGTTGTGCTGAGGATTGAACCCAGTACCTCACACATGCTGGCAAGGGCTCTACTACTGAGCTACAACCCCAGCTCCAGTCCTCATTCTTGTAGAAACAGTTGTGCTAATATGTGCCATCCATCTTTCCTCATTCTAATTCTTCTTGTCCCTGAACTTGTACTGAAGTGTCATCTCTTGCATGAAGATCCCTGAATTTTCTGCCCATACATTCTTGTGGTATCTGAAGTCTTTATCAGCAACTTTATAGTTAATACTCTGTCTTGAGATACTATCTGTGTATTAACTGTTGTTAGATACTATCTGTGAATTAGTCTAAATCTTTTTGCATTTTACATATTCTAAGAGGGGCTATTTTATAAGATGGATGAAGTACAGCTTAAAGAGACAAAGGGAGTTAGCCTCTTGAAATTAGTGTAGCCATTCTGAATCTAGAATGGATTTCCAATTAGAAACTCCCTGAAGATTGAGTTTTACTTTTATTTTTAAGGTGGGACACTTTCTGAAGACCCAGTGATAATTAGGAATGCTTGGGTTTAGAGGCTATGGGTGGTTTCAGATTTCCTTATTTAGTTTTGAATCTTAAGCAGAGGCCTTCAAGTGTGCTGAGTAGTAGAATCCCGAGTTAAGCTATTTTTTAGATAATAGTAGGTCATGGTTGCATGTATGTATCTTTTATCTGTGGGACAAAAGTAGCTTGAGCATACTACTTGAAAGTTATAGAAATGAGTCGATATGATGAAGGATTTAGCTTATCTCAGTTTATTTTATAGCTGTTACAATTGTGAAAAATGTAAAGATTAAAAAAATGTTTTAGCAAATTTATCTAGGTCTACTTGGAATATCTTAATGATGCCATGCAAGCTGTACATATATTATGAAGGATTTATAATTATATTTTTAGTTGAAAATGATATTGATATATTTACCTTTAGCTGTATTAAAAATCCAAATAAGTTATTTAAAACAATGTATATATGTATCCTTTAATATATATCTATACCTCTTACAGAGTTTGTACTCTAATATTTATGAAACATGATTTTTTTGTTCAAAATATTCTGTATACTAATTTTCACTTTGGTGTATATACATACACACACAACACACACACAAGCATTGCCTTTCAGAATTTAACAGATATATTTTGTTATATTGGTAGATGTTCTCTTTTCAGCTTCCTCTCTCATATTTTTCTATAGTATAGCAGTTCGTAGATTTATATACTAAAGTTATTTATGTACATTTATTTATATAACATTACCACATTTTCTTTTATATTTTCAGGAGCTGGAAAAAGCCTTGGATGTCTTTAATATAACTATAGCTAGACAACAGGCAGAAGTTGAGGTAACTTCAGATTTTTCTTTCAATTAGTAAGAATAATTCTGAATTCCATATGGTTATGACAGATATGTTGTTATCAATATTTTGTATTATAAAATAGTTTCCTAAAAGGGCTCAAATTTGCATTTTTGCATTATAAGAAAATTTGATTTCATTTTTTGCCATATCCATTTAAATCAGGCATATTTTTATGGAAAGAAATTCTTTTGTAATAATTGGGCTTTTCAAATATTCAGAGTTCATATGAAAGTGAAAGCAAGTAGGGGTCACCCTTCCTCTCCCCTGCCCCAGTCACCAAATCTTATGACAGGAAGAACTATGTGGTAATCCTAAATTCTTATGTTTGGCTAATTGAAGTTACTGGGTTATTTTTTCAGTGTGTTTATTGTTTACATTCATTCAGGTAGATAATTTTGAAATACCATGTATCCATTTCTTTTGATTGCTAAAAAATGGATAATTTGTCATTATTCAAAAATTTGTTGATTTTAGTTAAAGAAAACTGGATACAAGATTTATAAAGAAGGAATAATTGATCCAGAGGATAAAAAAGGATGGTTTAACTGGCTGTGGACTTGGTCAGAATCACATACAAAAGAACAACCAGATGTTAAACCTGGAAGTATGTCCATTTCATTTTACAGTAGAGTAGTTAATCATCACTTGTGAAAATAGAGTTTTGCAGAAAATTTCCTAATTAAATAGACATTGTGTAAGCATATGTACATGATTATATTCAGTTTAAATTTATTATTAATAAAGTTATTGTTAAGCATTTTAATATGTACAAGCAAATAAATATTTTTATTTTTTATTTCTATATGACAGTGTAATGCATTACAATTATTATTACACATATAGAGCACAAAGTGTTCAGTACAGTTAGCCATATTTTGAGCTCTTGCTTAAAACAAACATTTAGAAATTTATATTGCTCAATTTATATGTTTAGTAAATTGTATTTTAGGAAAGTAACTTCTAAAAGTACCATTGTCATTCTAATATTAGAAAAGGAAAATAAAATTTTCATGTTATTTCTGAAGGCAGGTAAATTATATTTCAGTTTTTTATTGTTACCACCTGAAATTTCAGAGTTCTTGTTTACAATTTGTAGTTCTGGAAGAAATGTTGACACTTGAAGAAAAGGCTTTACTCTATGAAGCAATTGGCTATAGTGAAACAGCAGTTGATCCAACCTTGCCCAAAACAGTAAGATGTTTTCTTACCTAACACCTCTGAGTTGAGTGTTGGATATGTCTATTTTAATTTTTCTCAGAAATATGTGCTACTACCTTTTTTCTGTGATCTGTTCTGAGTCTGTAAATATTGCATTTATTTTAATTTCCAAGGTAAGAACAAAAATTATCCTTTACTTTTTGGCGTTACTGTGGTATTTCTTTGGGGGAATAGATGAAGGATTGTTTCTAAAGTATTTTGTGTTTTTGAAATGAATGAACTATATTAAGTAAGATTATTTTTTGTGTAAATATATATATATATATATACATATTTATGTATACTTTTTTCCATTTTATTGTTCTGGTTATACTCTAGTTTGAAGCCATGAAGTTTTTTGTTCACTTGAAAAGTATGTCCATCGTTCTAAGGGAAAATAACCAAAAACCTGAGCTGATACACATTGTAGTAGAAGAATTTAGCACTTTAATTGTGCAAAGACCAGGAGCACAAGCAATCAAGTAAGTAATTATTTGCTTTCACAGGTTAAGATTCCCTAATCTGAAATTCTGAAATGCTCTAGAATCCAAGATTTTTAAGTGCCAACATAATACCACTAGTAAAAAATTTCACACCAGATATTATGTGATGGGTTATAGTCAAAATGCAAATGCACTAAAAATATTGTATAAAATTATCTTCAGGCTCTGTATATGAGATATATATAAAATGTTAATTCATTTCATGTTTAGACTTGAGTCCCATCCCCAGGATATCGTGCCTATATACAAACATTTAAAAAATCTAAGGAAATCCTAAATCAGAAATATTTCTAGTCCCAAGCATTTCAGGTATGGGGTACTCAACCTTATTTAAAAAAAAAAAAAAAAATTACTGTGAGACTGAACTTGAATGTATCCTTTCTGTTTTTAGGAACCTATTTTTTTCTAGTAACATGATGGGTATGTTTTGAATTATTAATGTATCAATTCTTAATTATAATAAATGTTCAGTAGGAAACTGCATGCCAATGAAACATAGGACACTAAAGAAAAATACAAAAATGGGCAGAAGTCCTGCCACAGTAAAAGAAACAACATTAACAATGTAGTTTTTAATCTGGCAATATCTTTATTTTACTGCCAGCCAAGATCTTTCCCAAGAGACTACTTGTGGGATCAACACAGTATTGCCCATGTCTTAAAAGGGGCAGTAACAGATAAAACAAAAACACAGACAACTAGAGGGAATTCCCAAACCCAAGCTCAATAAACAGATGAGAACCTAAGCAGACCAGAAAAGAGCAAATATCCGTAGGTTTGAGTCTACTTAACTGTGACTCCTACACCAGTAACTCCACAGATGTTCCCACATAGAGGGACAAGATGGTGTGGAATCAAGAGTCTCAGTGTGCACACCGGGGGACTTACCAGATGGCCAAGGGTGTCATGACTTTACTGAGTTCAGTTTCCTTTTTCTCAAAGTGGACCAAGATGGAGTAGCCTGATAAGGGAGGGAAGGCAGGAGTTCTCCAAAGCAAAAGGAGCTTCTGCAGCTTCTGGGACAATCCCTCAGTCCCTCCCTTTACTCAAAGTATCAGCTCTTCCAGTTCAACCTGAGGCAAACTCACTGGTCTTCTAACTCTCCTGCAGATGGTTCTCCATAGGTTCGCCAACCACTTGACATCCTTAGCATGAAAGTGGGATTGCTTGGAGAGCCAGGCCTGCCTAAGAAAATTGGAGTGGGGGCTGTTCTTGGGTCCCATCTGGGGTACCAGATTTGTTACTGAAAGCTCAGTCCTTGTCCCTGATGCTAATCCAATAATGAGAACACAGTTTGAGAAAAAGGAAAAAGAAGTTTTATTGCTTTGATAACAAAGGAGAAACAGGAGGGTCTCTGGTCCCAGAGGCTGTGATTCTCTCCTTTGTTCTCTTGATATACAGTATATTACCGCAGTTGACTTTCAGATTTTAAAAGATCATTATGTTCCTGAAATAAACCCCATTTCGTCATATGTATAATCCTTTTTTAAATATTGCTAGATTGGGTTTTTTTTTTTTATTTAGTTGAAAATTTTTTAGATCTATTGACCTAAAGTTTTCTTTTGCTTGTGATATCGTCATCTTTTTTTTTTAATTAAGGAAATACTTGTTCTCATATAATAAGTTGTAAAGTGTTCCTTCCTCTTCGACAAACTTGGTAAATAATTTTTTAAAATTCTAATTTAAATATTTGTTGGTAGAATTTACCAATGAAGTTATTGAATCTTGAGCTTTCTTTGTTGTAAGTTTATAATTACTGGATAATATGGTAATAGCTTCTCTTTTTTAGTAGTTTTTTGCCTTTAATAATTTGTCTGTTTCATCTATGATCTTATTTCCTTGCATATAGTTTATAGTATTACCTTACAATTATTTATCATTCTTTGAGATTGGTAGTACTATCCTTTTTCATTTTTGATCTTAGCAATTTGAGTCTTCTCTCATTTTTCTTAGTCTAGATAAATTTTGTTACTAGTTCTAAAACAACCCAACTTTGACTTTGTGGATTTTCTTTATTTCTCTAGTCTCTCATTCATTACTTATCCTCTAATCCTTATTGTTTTCTTCATTCAGCTTACATTAGGTTTTGCTTGCTCATTCTTTTATAGTCTATTTAAGTGTGTTTACTGCCTATAATGGGTAGAATTTTGTTCTCCAAAAAGTAATATCAAATCCTAATTCTAAGTAACTGTGAATATAACCTTATTTGAATATATGGTCTTTGCAGATGTAATCAAGTTAAGTTGAATTCATGATAGGTTGGTATGTTGGCCCTAATCCTGATTTGTGTCCTTACGAGGAGAATTTGGACCCAGGTTCAGAAAACAAGGAAGATGAAAGAGAGAATATGAACATAGATTTGAAATACTACATTGCAACAATGGCAGAGTTGCAGAATGTTCAAGCCAATACTCACCAGCAGCTCAGAATTTTGGAGAGAAACAAGGAACAATTGCTCCCTCTAAGCTTTCAAAAGGAACTAATTCTACTGACACCTCAATTTTAGATTTTTTTTTTTAAAGTGAGAGAGAGAGAGAGAATTTTTTTTTAATATTTATTTTTTTTTAGTTTTCGGCGGACACAACAATTTTGTTTGTATGTGGTGCTGAGGATCGAACCCGGGCCGCACGCATGCCAGTCGAGCGCACTACCGCTTGAGCCACATCCCCAGCCCTCAATTTTAGATTTTTAATCTTCAGATCTGTGAAAGAACAGATTCTTAAGTATTCCAGTATGTGATAATAGAACAGATTCTTAAATCTTCCAGTATGTGATAGTTTTTATGATAGCCCTGAGAAATTAATGCCATAACTTTTCCTAACTCCTATTTGAAAGGACTCTATTCTGTGTCCCTTAGTCTGTTTCATTATCTCAGATGGTGAGACAGTGACTTGATAGAGATTTCTTTAAATGCCTGGGATCAAAAGGAAACAAAGTTAAATACTCTTCCAGCTCTGCTTTGAGCTCTAACATTTCTTAATGTTGTGCCAGGTTACCTATAACTCTGTCTTTGCATAAACCTCCTCCTTTTATGCAGCTCACAGATTTACTAGACCTGTTAATCTAAGTTTTTGTCAGGTCTTCTTTAGAAAATCTCTGATCCTGGGCTTAAGTGTTGCTCTTTGGTTTCCATGGTACTTTCAGTGGGGATTTTGAGACTTTATTCCTCCTAGAAACTTTCTTTTGAACCTCCGTCTTCCCACACTTTGGGGTCTGTTTGGTGCTTTCCCTAATCATTGTCCCATGTCCTGGCATCTGTGATATGGGCATTTCTTTAAATTTTGGAACTGGTACTGCCTCTGCCTGGATGGTGGGAGTATGGAATGAAGGTCATCCTCTGTGCTGGCATTTTGGGGAACCTCCAAATAGATTACAACATTTGACCACAGTATTTGAAGAACAAGGTTCCTGTAGTCCCTTGGCATCAGTCAGCCATAGTATAGGAATATGAGCCATTGTCCCCATGGCAACCACAC